CCGGGACATGGGCGTCTGGCACCGACGTGTAAAATCTGGCGTGGGGCTCTCAGAGATAGATCTCGTTCTTGGAATCTGGGGCTCGAGGCACCGGCCTTTTCCGAAGTCCTCGGATCTCGAATCTAGGCTAGGATGGTCCGGGCATGCTCTTGCGGGTCCGGAGCGCGCCTCGTTCTTCGTCGCTCTTGCCGCGGGCGCGCGCGGGGCCTCTCCCTCCCCTGCCTTATTCCCCAGGGAAGTGAGATGGGTTGAAGCCGTTGCGTCAGATGGGGAGGTCCTTTTCAGCTCGCCATGGCTAGGGATCACTTCGCACGTCTGCCGAAGCGCATTGAGCCAGCATCGCTCGAACAAGGGGTCCGCAGAGGATTGCGGGCTCGGATCCAGGCAAGCTGGAGGCAGAGCTTCCAGCGGAGACGTGGACATTCGAGCGTGGCACTCCGAAGCCCCCGGGACCCCCTGACCAAGGGGGGCTCTCCCTCTTCCTCCCTTCGTTCTCACTCGCCGCCCCTGCCTGATGGGCTCAGTCGGAATGGCGAAGTCGCCGGCGAGGCGGGAGTGAGAGGCGATCCTGGGACCCGCGAGCGCGAGTGCCACTGCGCCGTCGAGGGCCGCTTCGCGGCCGCCGCCTAAGGGGCGCCGGGCCCAGTCACTCGATGCCGCCCAGCGCGCCCCGGAAGGCCCGCGAGGCCGGCGCAGCTTCGAGGGCCAGGGCCTTAGATCTTCTCGGAAGCGACGTCGTCATCCGCTAGTAGAAGCCGAGCGAGTTCGCGTGGGCTCCTTAATTCTAGAGGTATTTTGCCCGCCTCGGACTTCTATGGAGCCGGCCCGCATGGGCCATCGCGTCTCCCCCGCCGTCGACCTCCTCGCAGGCGCGGATGTCAGGACATCCGAGGGCCAGAGAGCCCCGTGGGAAGCTATCGAAAGAGACCCCCCCTTTTGAGATCCATGTCCCCAGAACGCAAGGCCTTCAGTCAGGCCGGGGTCTCCCGGGGGCGCGTGAACACAGAGACCCAAACCGAGGTCGAACAGCGGGGACTGGTGCACATTTGCCTCTGCACGCGGGCAGCACCCCATCAACTGGAGCGCGGGCGGCACTTTGCTCTTGAGCATCCAGTCGGAGCCAGTCCTTGGGAATTTCGGGGCGTTCAGGATCTCCTCTGGTCGGAGGGAGTCATGACTGCCGCGGCGGATCATCGCGAGTTCGGGCTGTCGGTTTCCCCCGGGGCCGTTTCGCGGAAGCGCGCCAGGTTTTCCAGTTGTTCCCTTCTGTTTCTGAAAGAGTGCACTCGTCATTGTTCGGGGGGGGGGGGGGGGCGCGTCCATTTGTCGTTGGAAGGGGGCGCAGGACAAGCATGTCCGAGAAGCGCCATGACGAGCTCGTCGCCTCCGTGGCCTTGGGCATCGAGAGAGCTGCGCGGTGTCACCATTTTCCGACGCCAGTTACTTTTCCAGCTTTGAGCGAGGCGGATTGCCCGGATAATGACTCCCACGGTCAGCCCTACAGCGCGGCGTCCCGCCTTCGGTTTCGCATTCGGGCTCTTGGAGCCATTCCCGAACAGGTCGACGCGGGGGATCTTGAGGGAGAGGCCCCCGAGGTGCTTCCAGGTCCTCTCCCAGGGCCGGCGGGGGCTCCCACGAGCGAACAGCCCCCGGGAACGTTGGGGCCAGCGCTGCTGAAGGAAGTTCATCGTCTCCACGCGAACCCAGGCCCCCCCCCCTCGAAGATTTCCTTAGGGCGCCCCGGGTCGCCAGGGCTCGGCCCGAGGTCTTGGAATGGGCGAAGCGTGAGTTTATTTGCGGAGCATGCGCTTCTAATTCTCGCACGCACTGGCGTCTCCACTCGCGCCTTCCTAGGACATGAGTTCAATGAGCTGGTGGCAGTGGACCTTTTCTATGTGGGGGTGGGCGGGGCAAGCGCGCCAGTTTGCAACGTCGTAGACCACGGCGCCACTTGCCAGCTAGCATGTCTGTTGGCCAACGATGCCGCCCTCACGACCTGGCGCGCTTTCCTTCAGCTCTGGGTCAGGCCACGTGGGCCGCCGGAAATTTTGCCGCCCGACGGCGGAAGCGAGTTTGAGAGATAGTTCGCGCGAGGCTGCGAGCGCTGGGGGATTATTCGGGAGGTTTTTCCAGCGAGCTCCATTGCAACGGACGCTGTGAGCGACGTGGGGGGGTTCTAAGGGATGTTCAGTCCAAGGCTTCCTTCTTCGAGGCCTTCTTCAGCCCTGCCACAGAGGAGGGCGCGGGGGCTCTTCTCTGCGAGGCCGTCGCCGCGAAGAACAGGGCGCATCGTCGCTGGTCCATCTCGTTTTGGGGCAAAATCCGAGGGTTCCCATGGGCCCGTTGTCAGGCGACGCCCTGGGCCTGGTCGGGGCGGAGGATGTCCTGGGAGAAATCGGTCAAGACTCGGCGGCCGGGGAGTTCGCTCGTCGCCACAAGGTCCGAGAAGCTGCCCGCGCAGCCGCGGCAAATTTAGATGCAAAGTCCCGTCTTTCAGAGGCCAGTCGAGCCCGCCTGCGCGTGGATCGACAGTTTAAGCCTGGAGAGCGGGTGCATGCGCGGCGCCGAGTGACGGCCGCCAATCGAACGCACTCGCTGCAGCGCGATCGCCGGACGGGACCGGGCGTGAAATATGCCGGCGGGGGGGCGCCGTCGAGGTCGATGCGAGAGCGATGTTGTGCAAGCGTTCCGACGACTACTCGCCAAGAGGCTCTCGTCGCCGAACTGCTCGATTCGTCTCGAAATGATCAGCTTCGGGAAGACATTCGCTCTCCGGGACGTAAGACGTGGGCCGTCGACGCGGCCGCGGACGCCCCCCCCCCCCCCCCCCGCGACGTGGGATCATCCTGGGGCGGAGTGCGGCCTGAACAGGACAGCTCCCGAGGCCCGCGCGTTGGCCCCTCTGGTTTCCGCCCCCGCCCCTTCGAGTTCCAGGCCCTCCCAAGATGGCGGCGTCGAGTCCACGGCCCCTCCCTCCCTCTGAGAATAGTCGCCCCCTCATTTAGGATCCGAGGTCTCGGACGCTGCCGAGGACCGAATCAGCGAGCCTCCCGCTCTGGGCGACGGGAGCCCGCGAGGGCAAGCTCGCGCGCGCCGCCCTCTCTCTGAGCCCGAGGATCGCGCGGCCAGACCAAGGCGAACCCCCGTTGAGGACTTCCCCGGCTCGAAGCCCAAGGTGAACCATATGGTCGATCGAATCGAAGCCCGGTCCTCAACGGAGCCCGCCTCGAGTTCCGAGCCTATCCGAGTGCGCGGTAGGGCCCCCGCGATCAGGTCCGAGTCAGTTCCCAGGGCTCGGAGGTCTGCTCTTTTCGAAGCGCTTCCTGATTCCTGGATGGGCGAAGCCACTGCTATTCCGGCGTCGACGGAGGTCTTGCCTGGAGAGGGTGAAGCCGACGATGCTGACCTCTTCCAGGACCAGAGTCCGCTGGGAGAGCTGCAGGCACGGTCGGACACTCCTTCATGACAGGCCCTCCTTTCTTTTGACGGCTTTCAGGTGGATCCTGAAGCTTTTACGGCTGCTGCCGGAGTCCTTCCCAAGAGCCCCGAGGAGCTGGGGCGGCCAGGAAGAATCTCACCCCCCAGGAACGCGCGCAGTTTGAGGTGTCAGATCGCGCGGGATGGGTGGCCAGAACGCTCTCGGGTTGTTCGCAGGAGGCTTCCTGACACAATCGTATCGTCTCGAATGGTGAGGAGGTTCAAGCCGACCAAATGGGTGGGGTCAGCAGCTATGGCGAGGTCACGCTTGTGTATCCATGGGCATCAAGACCCTGATGCTGAGAGCCTCCGTGTATGCACCGACACCACAGTCGGCATCGATCGTGCTAGTTTGTCAGGTAATCACGAGCATGGGGTGGACTCTGACTGTTGCCGATGCTAAGAACGCTTCTTGCCAGAGCAACCGTCTTCGCAGGCAAGCAGGAGCTATTTACGTGGAGCCATGCTCAGGACTCGAGCTGAAGCCAGACCAGCTGATAGAGCTGGCGGCTCCGGCTCATGGTTAAACGACGCGCCGCTTCTTTGGCATCAGACGCTAGCAGAGTACCTCGGGCCGCTCGGTTTTCTCAAGTCCTTGTTAGAACCATGTTTGTGGCTGCATCGAGACCCTTCTGGGGCCCTCGAGACTTTGGTCCTTGTCGAAGAGGGCGATCTTTGCATCGCGGGCACTAATACCTTTGCTCAGGAACTTCGCTCGAAGCTGCGTGATCGATTCAAGTTCGGAAAGTGGAAGGAAGGAGTGTCGGAGTTAGCCGGTCGTCGGATTCGCCAGCTCCCCGATCGCATTTTAGTTGGTCAGGAACGGTATGTTCGCGAGCGGTTGTCTACGGTGCACTTAGGGAGCGTCGCTCTACGCCAGATTCCCCGCGCGCGCGGGCCGAGGTCGCGCCCCATTGCGCGGCGGTCGCTCAGGCGCAGTGGCTGGCCCGCGAGTCGGGGCCAGACGTGGCGGGGCCAGCCTCTTTACTGGCCGCGGCGCTGCCCGAGCCAACTGTCGCCGACGCTCTCTGCCTGAACGCGACTTGCAAGTGTCTCCGAGGGTCCGCCGGGCCCCGCCCCCTTGGCGCTCGTCGCCGCCGGCGACGCCGGGGGGCCGGGATCGGCCCGCAAGGCGGGGGCCCGAGGGGCCCGGATAATCGCGGCGGCCGAAGCCGCTGTCCGCGAGAACAAGAGGGCACGGGCCAGCGCACTGGCATGGCGATTTCAGCGTCTGAAGCGAGCTGTTGCGAGCGCCGCGGCGGCAGAGACGCTGGCCCTGAGGGGGGCCACCGCTTAGGCGCAGCGGCTCCAGATGCTGTTTCGAGACGCTGCGTTCGGGGGCGCCCCCCGCCCCGAATGGTTCGAGGCGCTCTCCCGCTTTTTTCCGTCCTCTTGTCCTCCCAGATCGCAGGTCTCAGCTACGTCGCATTTTCTCGGGCGTCAGTTTGGACAAACACCATCGGAAGTGCGTCGTGAATAGAAGCGTAGATGTTGGCTCCGATCATAGACCACCTCGCCTCGATATGGGCTTCGTCGCGCGCGGACGCTTCAAGCAGAAACGATGCAGATGTGACCAATGGGCGCCTGGGCAATCGCACGTGCAGGAGATGAACGAGGCTCGGCGGGGCGCGCTCGCAGCAGCGGAGAAGATGGGCGAGATTACCCGGCGCATGGAAGAGGCGGCAGCCCGAGACAAGTCAAAATCGAACTCGAAAACGAAGCTTCCGGATAGGCTTACTTCGACCTTGGATGTCAAAATCCGCACGCTCACCCATCTGCGGAGGCAGCTTCCGAATCAGACCGGACGCAAGGAGATAATAAACGTTTACACGTGGAGTGGGGCAAGGCAATCCAGATATTGAGTCGTTACAGGCTCAACCAGCAGCGCGTGGATGACATCGCGAAGGTCGTCGGTGAATTTCGTGGTCCACAGCGTCTGGTCGCCATCGCGGGGAGGATCAAGAAGGCGCACATCGCGGAGGCGAGAAACAAGAGCGGGATTCTCGAGCATGACAAGAAATCTATAGCAGAAGTTTTCGCCCAGTTCTACGAAGATTTGTATTCCACGACCAGAGAAGGAAACGGAACAGCCCCCCACGCGATGAACGGCGGAGACCCGGTGCCCGATTTCACGGAGGCCGAGCTGAGCGACGCAATCCAGGAGATGCAGAACGGCAGATCCGGAGACGACAAGGGGATCACAGCTGAGATGGTCAAGGTGGATTGCCCCCTGCTGCGCAAGCATACCCTGGACCCCGTCAACGCGATACTGGATCCGAGCCAACGTCTGCCTCCTGACTGGATAGAGAGCCGCATCGCAGTGCTTTCCAAAATTGGAGATGCGTCGTTGCCATCAAACTACAGACCAGTCGCCATGTTAGCCATATTGTACAAACTCTTCAGCAAGCTCTCGTGTGGCGCTATTTCCGAATGTGAATTTGTCGACCAGGCGGCCTGCCGCAAGGGGCTCTGCACCATAGATCACCTGTTGACTGTCGCTCTACTTGCAGAGGCTAGCGGCGCTTGCAATACGGAGCTTTGGATGGGTTTGGTGGACTTTGAAGAGGCTTTCGACGCCGTCGAGAACGATTATTTGTGGACGGCGCTGCGAGAACACTGAGTTCCTGAAGGGTACATGGACTTGCTTAGAATGTTATACACGGAGCAAGGGGCCAGGGCTTCAGCAGGGGAGAAACGTCGCTTGCTCGACGCTACGCGAAGGGTCCAGCAAAGAGACTCCATCAGGTAATTTCTCTGCGTTGTAGCAGTGGAAACAATCTTCAGCATTGTGAAACGAAGGTGGGCGAGCTTGAACGCAAGAAGAAGCGGTCCTTCATGTGGCATTGTGATCGCAGACCCGTTTGAGCCCCCATACCAACCTTCGCTTCGCCGACGACGTCTTGCTAGTCTGCACCTGCAAGAGACGTTTCACGAATGATCGTTGACCTCGAAACTGAGGCGCGGAAGTGCGGCCTGAAGTTGCACTTCGGGAAGACGGTTGTGCTCGCGAGCGCTGAGCGTGGAGGGCGTGATGTTACACGTCTGGCGGCTGCTACACGTCTGGCGCGGAGGACGCGATGTTCGCGCGTGACAACGCGGGGAGGCAGACATGCATTTGGGAAGGAAACTGACGTTTGATGCATACCACGATGCGGAGTTGACTAACAGAACATCTGCTGGGTGGGCCTCTGTTACAAAGTTGGAGTCCGCGCTGTGCGACCGCCGACTTTCTCCGGCAGACCGCGCGCGACTTTTCCGCGCATGCGTCGCGCCCGCGGTGCTCTACGCGCGCGACCTTGAAGAAGGGCCAGGAAGGGAAGCATCAGCCCTCGCAGAGGAGAGCGCTGCGCTGCACGATAGGCGCTCGCCGACGGCCTGACGAGGACTGGGTGGGATGCATCCGGCGCGCCACTCACGCATGCCTGGGCCTAGCTAGAAAACATCCAGTTGAAGAGTGGACCGCGCTCGCCCAGAAGAACAAGAGGGAGCTTGCCGCCAGGGGCGCTCTCTGCGAAGACACCCGATGGAACGCGCGGCTTTTTGACCGGATTCCGCGGCATCGGGTCGCGCCCCGCCGTTCACAGAAGAAACGCTGGGCTGAAATCTGAGGCCGCTCGTGCACATCTCAGGTGAAGAGTTGTCTGTTCTACTATTTTGCGCTGCTTGCGCGCTTGCTTCTAGTTCATGCCCGCTCGTGCCCTTCTCTTTCCATACATTGACCACTCCATATCGCACTGTCTTCTATTGCCTTTCTGCATTCAAATGTTGATCCTTGTTGTTGCGGCCCGGCGCAGTGCAGAGGCAGGCGGGGCTCTCCCTCTTGCCTATATGGGCCGTCGCATCGCATCGCATCCTCCCAGTGTTCCCTTAGTAAGGATGCCAAGGGCATTGCCCTGGTTGACGCAACATCTGTTTTTGACGCGTTGTCTAAAAATTATGCGGGGCCCCGGGCCGACAGGCTGAACGCCGCGAAGCTTGCTGTCATCAGAGATGCACTGTCGGGAGCGGGGTCGAGAGTACGATGACCCCCGCGCCGGCGAATGCCGCTGACCCGCTGACCAAACAGGACCCGATGCGAGGCAACCTCGTTTTGTACGATCTTCTGCGTCGGGGGAGTCTCGTGTTGATAGATGAGCACGGCCGCATAGATGAGAGAGCTCTCACTGATTCTCTCAACTCAAGGTCGCGAGGCGCCAGCAGAGGAGCCATCGAGTCGACTGCTGCCGCGGAGGGTTTAGGCACGTTCATGGTTGAACGCGCCGTCGGTGGTACCAGCTACGTTCCGAGAAAATTGCGTTTAGAAGCCAGCCTCAGTTTTTGGTGCCCTCCCCAGGGGTATGGGGCAACGTCAGCGCCGCCGTCTCACGTGAGAACACTGTTGCCCATTTCTAGTTTTTCTCTTCTCTTCCCTCGTCGTCATCGTCGTCTCTTGTCGTTCCTCCGACCCGGCAGATCCAGGACCTGCGGGGCAAGGCCCGGAGGGAGGGGAAGGAAGAAAAGGCGGAGAAGGAGGAGACTACTAGGTATGAGGAGGATCGCCTGGAAGTTTTGAAGCCGAGGGAGCTGAGGCCGCGAGAGTTAGTCCCGCTGTCACCCGTGGTCCCATGGAGCCCTCGGGGGTCCCCATCCCTTTCCCTGCACTCGACCTCCGTAGCCTTTGGCTTAGATATGTGTTTTCTCCGTGCGCCGCGAGTCTGTATGAAAGATCCCCTCTCTCGCCCACTTCCCCCGAGTATGCCGTCCGATGTTGCAGCAGTGCCAACATGGGTGCGGCGGGTGCATGCGAACGCTGGCATTTGGGCCTTGGGTGGGGCTCCCTATGGAGCCACAAAGCGTGTGAGGGGTGTGCCAAAATGGGCGCGGCGGGCGCATGCGAACGCTGGCACTCGGGTTTTCCATGGGGCTCCTTATGGGGCCACGAAGCGTGTGCGGGGCGTGCCGAAACAGAGACATGCGGAGGGCACGGGCGAGGAGGGGAAGAAGGAAGGAGGGGGAGGAGGAAGGAAGGAAGGACAACGCGGGGACCGTCTCTTCAAAACGAGGACCAACACCAGAATATGGTTGGGAAAAACATGTTTCCCGTGTTGAGTTTTGGCCGGCGTCTCCGGCGAGTGTTTTTTTTTACAAAAAAAATGAAGAAAAAAAAAGGACCAGGAGGAGGAGGAGGTAGAGGAGGAGGAGGAAGAGGAGGAGGAGGATGAG